AGAGAGAAGGGTGACCGTTTTCTTCTTCAGCGTTTCGACATTGGGCGGAAGGGGGAGGGGGAGAGGGGATGGTCTGGCTCCGGACGTCTGCTGAATACGACTGTTTGCAACAGTGCGTTCTATGGGTGAGACTCCACTTGCTTGAAAAAGGCGCCCAGAACAGCCAGGATCTACTCCGTAGGGGGGGGCGGGAGGGGTGCGAGGGCCCGCGCCGATCGACAAAATAATTAATAAGAAAACGAGATATATATATATATATATATTATATATATATATATATATATATATATGGTCGCCCCCCCTCCTATGATCTACCTAAGCCTCTTTGCGGCCTTAACTTCCACTCGGAAGCCCTCGGGGTTGGGCCTTGACTTCCACTCTCGGGGGCACTCGGGGGAGCGGGACGGAGGGAGGGCGGGAGAGCGGGAGAGCGGGAGAGCGGGAGAGCGGGAGAGCGGGAGAGCGGGAGAGCGGGAGAGCGGGAGAGCGGGAGAGCGGGAGAGCGGGAGAGCGGGAGGAGCGGGAGAGCGGAGAGCGGGAGAGCGGGAGAGCGGGAGAGCGGGAGAGCGGGAGAGCGGGAGAGCGGGAGAGCGGGAGAGCGGGAGAGCGGGAGAGCAGGAGCGGGAGAGCGGGAGGGCGGGAGCGGGAGAGCGGGAGAGCGGGAGAGCGGGAGAGCGGGAGAGCGGGAGAGCGGGAGAGCGGGAGAGCGGGAGGGCGGGAGAGCGGGAGAGCGGGAGAGTGGCCATCCAGGCCCGGGCCATTCCGTCCCGGGGCCTCTCGGGCCACCCGTGCCACCCAGGAAGCCCAGTTGGCGCGTTCTCGCTCTCCCGCTCTCCCGCTCTCCCGCCCTCCCGCTCTCCCGCTCTCCCGCTCTCCCGCTCTCCCGCTCTCCCGCTCTCCCGCTCTCCCGCTCTCCCGCTCTCCCGCTCTCTCGCTCTCCCGCTCTCCCGCCCGCTCTCCCGCTCTCCCGCTCTCCCGCTCTCCCGCTCTCCCGCTCTCCCGCTCTCCCGCTCTCCCGCTCTCCCGCTCTCCCGCTCTCCCGCTCTCCCGCCCTGCTCTCCCGCTCTCCCGCTCTCCCGCTCTCCCGCTCTCCCGCCCTCCCGCTTTCCCGCTCTCCCGCTCTCCCGCTCTCCCGCTCTCCCGCTCTCCCGCTCTCCCGCTCTCCCGCTCTCCGCCCTCCCGCTCTCCCGCCCCGCTCTCCCGCTCTCCCGCCCTCCCGCTCTCCCGCTCTCCCGCTCTCCCGTTCTCCCGCTCTCCCGCTCTCCCGCTGCCCCGCTCTCCCGCTCTCCCGCTCTCCTGCTAACTTCTCCAGTCGCCGATTGGACGAGGAAACCCTTCCCGGTCGCCGATGGGCGGCGGGAGAGCGGGAGAGCGGGAGAGCGGGGCAGCGGGAGAGCGGGAGAGCGGGGCAGCGGGAGAGCGGGAGAGCGGGAAAGCGGGAGAGCGGGAGAGCGGGAGAGCGGGAGAGCGGGAGAGCGGGAGAGCGGGAGAGCGGGAGAGCGGGAGAGCGGGAGAGCGGGAGAGCGGGAGAGCGGGAGAGCGGGAGAGCGGGAGAGCGGGAGAGCGGGAGAGAGCGGGAGAGCGGGAGAGCGGGAGAACGGGAGAGCGGGCGAGCGGGAGGGCGGGAGAGCGGGAGAGCGAGAACGGCCACCCGTGCCCGGGTGCGGGTGACGGGTGACGGACCCCGCTCTCCCGCTCTCCCGCTCTCTTGCCCTCCCGCTCTCCCACTCTCCCGCTCTCCCGCTCCCCCGCTCTTCCGCTCTCCCGCTCTCCCGCTCTCCCGCTCTCCCGACCTCCCGCTCTCCCGCTCTCCCGCTCTCCCGCTCTCCCGCCCTCCCGCTCTCCCGACCTCCCGCTCTCCCGCTCTCCCGCTCTCCCGCTCTCCCGCTCTCCCGCCCTCCCGCTCTCCCGCTCTCCCGCTCTCCCGCTCTCCCGCTCTCCCGCTCTCCCGCTCTCCCGCTCTCCCCCTCTCCCGCTCCCCCGCTGCCCCGCTCTCCCGCTCTCCCGCTCTCCCGCTCTCCCACTCTCCCGCTGTCCCGATCTCCCGTTCTCCCGCTCTCCCGCTCTCCCCGCTCCTTGACTCTCTCATTCTCCTGTTCTGCCGCTCAGGGCCCGAAGTGATGCGGAGGAGGAGGTGGAGATGGAGGAGGAGGAGGATGAGGAGGCGGAGAGGATGGAGGTAGGAGGAGGAGGAGATGTAGGAGGAAGGGCAAGGAGGAAGAGGTAGAGGAGGAGGATGAGGATGAGAGGAGGAGGAGGAGGAGGAGGAGGAGGAGCAGGAGGAGCAGGATGAGGAGATGAGGATGAGGAGAAGCAGGAGGAGCAGGAAGAGGAGGATGAGGAGGAGGACGAAGACGAGGACGATGAAGCAGAGGAGGCGGATGAGAATGATGAGAAGCAGGAGTCTGATGATCTGGAGAGGAGGAGGCGCAGGAGGAGTTGGAGGCATATGAAACGAAGGAGTCGGAGGATAATGAGGAAGAGGAGGAGGAGGAGTTGGTAGAGGAGGAGGTGCAGGAGGAGGAGGATGAGGAGGAGGAGGCGGATGAGGAGGGGGCGGAATAGGAGGGGGCGGAATAGGAATCAGGAGGAGGAGGAGCAGCAGCAGGGGTGAGGAGGAGGAGCAGGAGGTGGGGCGAGGATGAGGAGGAGGAGGACCATCAGCAGAAGGAGGAGGGAATGGTATAGTAAGTTTTCATTGACTGTAATACTCCTCATCATCCTTCCCATCCTCTCCTTGCCTCATCCCCACTTCCATCCTTCTCTTCAAATCCTAGTTTAGCCTTCTACTTACGCTGCTGTCCTATGCTTATGATGATGATGACGCCTGTGTTGATGATGATGATGATGTGCCGATGGTGATGGTGGCGATGATGACGATTACAATTGTCCCGATGCCATGGGGATGATGATGGTGACGATGGTGATCGTGGCGATGAGAATGACGATGATGATGACGGTGACGATGGCGATGACGATGACGCTGACGATGACGACGGTGAAGATGGTGACGATACTGGTGCTGATGATGATGATGATGATGATGATGACTGCGGTGGAATCTGGGCCCGGGCTACCACAGACTGCACTGCAGCACACCAGCGCCAGGAAGAGTCACGCGTGATCCCCAGATCAGGAGATGAGATCGAGAGCGAGGGGGGAAGAGCGAGAGCGAGGGAGGATGGGTGTAGGCGCTTAGGGCCATCATATAGCTAGCCTTGGCCACCTTGCAGTGCCACTGATGTCATCATCGCCACCATCACCACCGCGAGGACCATCAACACGATAACCAGAATCCCCAGCAGCACCAAGACCACCACCATGATCGCGATCGACAGCATCACCTAGACTTCCAGCGTCACCATCACCGTCGCCATCGTCATCGTCATCGCCACTAGCACCAGCAGTCCCACCCACCAAGATCATAGTCGTCACTGTCATCATCAACATCACCGCCATCTTGGGCACCACATCTTCACAGGCATCATCTCCATCGAACTATTATCAAGATGGGGGCCATCACTACCACCACTATGACTATCACGATGATGCCACTACCTCCTGGCCACCAACACCACAACACCATCATGTGCAGTGGCATCAACATCGTCATCGTCATCCTCAGTTGCACCATCATCACTCCCACCTGGCACCACCATATATGTATCGCAACCAGCCCCTGGGACATCACCGCGAACACCACCTAGTCAACAGCTAACGCCGGTATCATCACGATGACCTCCACTAGTAGCTGGGCATGCAGCATCGCACCAATACCGTCGCCATCACTACCAGCAACATCAATCCCGCCCACCACCTTAGCACTCTTTATCGTCATCATCGTCATCACCGCCATTTGGATCACCACCACTGGCAACAACTCAATTTGGCAGCATGACAAGTGGACCATCACAGCGACCACCATCAATACCATGCGCACATCATTACCACCTGGCCACGAAGTCGACAACACTGACATAACCGTTTAGCATATGTAGTCATCATCGCCAGTACACCACAATCACTGCCACCTGGTCCGCCACCGCCACCATTTGCCAAGACACCCATCATCTGCACTGCAACCCGTCTCTGGGCCATCACCGCCAACGCCATCTGGCCAAACACTTCCGCCACCATCATCATCACGACTACCTGCAGTAGTAGCCGGGCAGACAAAACTGTAACATCGCCACTGTCACCATCGCAAGCATTACCACCCCACCCACCCCGATGATATTTTTGTCATCGTCATCACAACCACCGGGACCATAATCACTACCACCGGCCTCAACTCCACTGGAAGCAGCGTTTCCAACACCTCGGCCGTCACCATCGCCACCATACCTGGCCCAATACCCTCACCATCATAATAATCGCGTTTATGACAATCACGTCTACGACCTGGGCTACCAACGCGTCAAACCCGCTGTGACGTTACAATCAATATCATGTGTGCCAGCATTACTACCGTCATCATAGTGATTGCGGTACGAGTTGAGATGATAATGGAAATATTGATGAATGCGGCACGTGTCGTGCCTTATCGTCTGCTACACTTCTCCGTTTCCTCCTGGTCTGCTATTCTGCTCCCCTGATCCTAATGGTCCTCTATCCTCCTCCTTATCATGGTCCTGAGCCTCATCCTTCCCCTGAGCCTGGCCGTTGTGAACCTTACTCATTTTCCTCCCTTCTCCCAACATTACTCTTGGCGTTGCTACTAATCCTATTCCGCCTTCCTTCTTCTCCTCCTGATCTTCGTCCTCGTCTTCACCCACGTCGTACTCCGTCATCCTTCCCCCCTCCTCAATGGGATTCAACATGGCCTTTGTACTCTCTCCGAGCCTCGCAACTTACCCACCCACCACCATCACCAACACCTCCCAGAGTGCCGTCATCACCACCATCAACATTATTAGCATTATCTCTAATACCA